ATTTCAGTCTTATTTCTGTTGCAGCTAGCTTGTTCTTCATTCTTTACAAACTAAATGCTGGAATCAAACAGGCAAAACACCAAAATGATAGAATAAAACACACATAAACTATAATTTAGTACACATAAATCAGAATTCAGATTGTAGTCTTATCCAGTTTTATTGTTTTGAGTTTGAATATCGTAAAAGATCAGGAATAGTGGAACTGCTCTTAGTCAAATAATTTTTCCATGAAAGCATTATATGAAAAGATATAAAGCTTAAGGCCACTTAAAAGTATATTCCTTTCACATCACTCTCTTATTGTGACTCACATACCATCTAACCAAAACAGAAAGTAGGGTCAAAGTTCCATTAAGTTTCTGAATCTAACACTATCTTAGAAGCATAAAACCTAACCCACCATTCAACAAAAGCAGAATAGTTCAAATCTTCTTGTTTCCCAGAATCTGATTTTAAATTATGAAAGTTTTGAAAACTAAGTCTCAACTAAATACAAATAAATCATTTAATATAAGAGTGATGGGGTTTTAGCAACTTGGTATAGTTGCAGCCAACAACTCTGTAGAGCAAAAGATACAACCACCAGAAAACAGGCCATAACTCAATAATATCAATATCAAATATGTATAGGGGAAGATGATACTAAGGACAAACCAAGTTTATTGTTTTGACAATATATAGTTGTTAAAAGATCGTGTAGCATATGGCGCAGTGCAAGCATTGGAAGGAACGCTGATGACAGTAGAGAAATAAAGTGAATGCATTAGCTAAGTGAGAGAATTCATGTAAGTTGATGCATTTCGCTATACTTATTTAATATAAACTTTTCCCTAAAGTATCCTTATTATTATTTAGGAAGGATGGTTTGTCTAATTTCTACCAAGGATAAAGTTAGGAGTGCACTAATTGCGCTCGATCTTTTACATTTAATTTTTATTAAAAATCATAAAAATTCACTTTATTTTTATCACTAATGCTACATAATGTTTTAAATTAGGTTTAATAAAATCATAGTTAATTTTTAATTTTTCAATAAAAATTAATTATAAAAAAAATAATTAATTTACTCTTAACTTTTGCCTTGGTCAAGACAAACTCAAAAGATTGGGTGGACCTACAGAATTCAACAATACAATCACTGAGTGTGTAGAACACGCTCAAGTTAAAGAAGTGGAAGACCATTGACTTGTTGACTAATTACCTGCTCTGGCCTCTCATGAAAACACAAGTGATCAAATACCAACTTGGAAAATCTAGTTTCCTGGAAGCATGCTATTAAAGTTATTGAACATGCAACAGAGAAAAGAAGACTGACCTTTGATTATAGTTATAAGCAGAAGCTCTTTGAACCCAAAAACTTAAAAAAAAAAAACGTTAGCATGATTTCTATCTAATTTATCTCATTTTTATAATTTGATTAAAGAATAACTATTCTATCAACTAAACAAGTGGATAAGAACAAGAGCATCAAAGTTGCAGAATTCAGGTTTTAGTCTTATTTCTGTTGCTGCTAGCTTGTTCTCCTGGATGGAGCCAAAAATTTAAGTTTGGAGGCAAATTTTTAAAATTTTTTTGTGAGTCATTTAAATTTTATTTGATCATATTTTGTGTAAACTATTTTCACAACAACTTTTGTAAAATGTAAATTTGTTATAAATAATTAATATTTTACATTTGGCCAAAAAATTAATATTTTTATATACTTTTATTAATTTTGATTAATATTTTATATATTTTTAAGATATTAAAAAATAAAAAAGCTTATATTTATAGCACAATACCGATAAATAAAGCCTTAAAAGTTTATATTAGTATAATTTATATTGGTTTTTAAATCAATTATTACTTTTATGCATGTACCATTTATATCATCCATAATAAATTTTGTATTAACTAGATATATTTAGCTATTTTTGAATAACATAGAATTTGAAACCATTAATTAAATAGTATGAAAATATAGTTTTTTTGGATAAAATTATATATATCAAATCAACTTTGGTTTAATAGAATATAAATAGTACAAAAAAAAACATATATAATTAATGTAGAAACTCATATAAGTTTATTTCAGTATAACTAAATTTTAACTATTTTTTATGTTTATTCTTAGTTAAATAAAATTATTATATTTTTATAAAAATTAGTTAGAAAGA